TGACCTCTGTCATTGCCAACAAAGTGTATATAACAAAGTATTGAGATGAAATTTTGTTATTGACCAAATACTTATTTTCCACCTTAATTTGCAAATAAATTCTTTAAAAATCCTACAATGTGATTTTCTGGATTTTTTTTTCTCATTTTGTCTCTCATAGTTGAGGTATACCTATGATGAAAATTACAGGCCTCTCTCATCTTTTTAAGTGGGAGAACTTGCACAATTGGTGGCTGACTAAATACTTTTTTTCCCCACTGTATGTATATGTGTATGTGTTTATATATATATATACACATACACATACACATACACATACTTATTTATTTATTTGTTTGTTTGTTTGAGCCCGACCAATATGGGTTTTTTGGGGCCGATACCGATATTAGGGAGTAAAAAATGTGCCTATATCGGCCCATATTCGTTGTGTATATTATAGTACAGTACCAGTCAAAAGTTTGGACACTTTCCCATTCGTGTGTCCAAACATTTGACTGGTACTACATATAGAATACAGTATATACATAAACAGAATATATATACATAAACACATTTTTTGCAATGACCACTCAAATGTGGTGATGAAACACTTATAATGATGTGACGGAGATACGTAATGGAGGCAGGGCATTTAACAAATTAACAAACTTCATTATCCAAAATGAGTCTGACATCAGTGCACGGAACAGTAAAGTTTAAGTTTTTTCAACTTTAATTAAATTCCATTCAACTTTGAATGTTCCGAAGTGAAAAACTTCAACTGAATATTCACGGATTTGCGCTACTGTCTTCACACACAGACGAAACTTACTAGAGAAGTGTGACATAATATACCTCTGTAAATAAATACAAAATAAAGGAGCCCTCTCAAACGCCACCCTCTGTGCGGCGGTAGCCCCCCGGGATCGCTTGATCGGTCGGTGCCGGACCACGTATTTAACCACCTGTAACTCCCGAATCCCGGGGGCTATCGACGTGGCGGTGGTCTCATTCGAAAGCGGGCCTCTAGACGTACAATCGATTTGTGTTCGAGAGGGTTCCTCAAGCTGAAGGGATCCCTGAATTTGGTGCGGATTTGCCACGCCGTTACGGAGATATGGCTGTTCAAAGTTTCAATGGTTTTCCATAGACTTAAGCTTTAAGAGTTTCATCCAGGTCGCCAGTAGCAAACAATGGAGCGCGCTCTGCTGGACAAACTAAGTAAATACACCATTTCAAGCATTTTATCTGCGTTATATGTTCTGTAAAAAAAAAATTCTTATCTGCGGCATATTTGCCGATACCGATATATCGGCGACAGGCTCCTATCGGCCGATAACATCGGCAAAACAATATACCGGTCGGGCTCTTATTTATATATATTATATATATATGATATACAGCCTGGTTCACATTGCAGCTAATTGTTATAAAGTTACAACTTGCCAGTTCGAGAAAGCTGAGCTTTTTTGTGTGCAGTATGCATCAGACAGTTTCTAAGTGCAGTAATGGTTTGTTTTGTAGGGGTCTGTAAATGAGGAGGTGAACTCAACCATACGACGCTTCTTCTGCTACAACAACACATATAATGACATGGCAACCCTGTTCTTCAACCCTCAAGAGGTTGCAATCCACCAGCTCTTCCACCAGAATGGTGAGAAAATTACATGCAGCGATACTGTGTTTGTGATCAGTTTTTGTTCAGGTTCTTCATAGGCATTTCAGAATATTTAGCTTCAAGCCTTAAACTTTACCCCCCCCCAAAAAAAAATGAAAATGATGTAATTTACTCCACCTCGACCTGTATTAGAGCCTCTTGATTGTTCCAAAAGTCATAATCACGTTATTTATTGCGGTCAATATTGAGATCACAGTTAATCAGTGAGTTTGGAAACATCATGCATTTATTAAATTGTTTAACATTGGATTTTCTTTGAACCTCAAATATACACTGCCGGTCAAAAGTTTGGGATCAGTGAGGTTTTGAAGGTTTTTTTTTTTTTTATTTAAAATTTTTTTAAAGAAGTCCCTTATGCTCATTTATCAAGGCTGCATTTATTTGATCAAAAATACAGAAAAAAAAACATAATATTGGAATTTAAAATAACCGTTTTCTATTTTAATATATTGTAAAATGGAATTTATTCCTGGGATGCAATGCTTAATTTTCAGCATTTTTCTCCAGTCTTCAGTGTCACGCGATCCTTTAGAAATAATTTTTGATGAGCATAAGAGACTTCTTTAAAAAAACAAAACAAACAAAAAAAAAAACATTAAAAATCGTACTGATCCCAAACTTTTGAACGGCAGTGTAGTTCAACTGTAAAAATTGAGGAAAAAAAAAATTTATAACTATATATACATTAAATTAAATGAGATCAAAATGAATAAAAGCAACTGCACTGCACTACCACAACTTACTGAAAACTATTAAACGTTTATGAAGGGCTGAAATCACACTGCTTTAAAGGAAAAGGGTGTTCTGGATTTATAACACAAGACAAACCAAGAGCTTCATTACAAAATGGAATAATCGCTTTCTCTTATTTTCATAATCCTGAAAATAAAGTTTGATTAAACCGCATGCCCGAACCTCTGTGATGTTTTGCTCTGTAGAAATCGAGTTGAAGTTTCTGAGAAGTGCATAACATTATTTTCTAACCCTTTTCTGTCTCTCTCTCTCTCCCTCGTTTGTCTGGTTTTGTTGACAGCTACCTTCAGTCCCGTCACGCTCTTGCTGTTCTTTGTGCTATATTTTTTTCTGAGCTGTTGGACATATGGTGTGTCTGTCCCCAGTGGACTGTTTGTCCCGTCTCTTCTCTGTGGAGCTTCACTTGGGCGCCTAGTGGCCAATGTCCTCAAAATGTAAGATTTATTCCTGTTTACTATCTCTCCGAACTACCAAGGGCACCTGTTCGAACAGGACACATACGTTTATCATATCTTAAGCATCATAATTTCTCAGCCCACACTTATAATGCTGTTTTTTAATATGTGTAATTGCAGCAACTTTCACATGCAAGTATATGCGGGGACCTTTGCCTTGATTGGAGCAGCTGCTTTTCTAGGAGGTGTGGTCAGAATGACCATCAGCCTGACAGTCATATTAATTGAATCGACCAATGAGATCACATACGGACTTCCCATTATGATAACACTGATGGTAGGAATACAAAAATCACTAAATGATGTTATATGTGACCCTGGACCACAAAACTAGTCATAAGGGTACATTTTTTTGAAATTGAGATGTATACACCACATAAAAGCTGAATAAATAAGCTTTCCATTGATGTATGGTTTGTTAGGATAGGACAATATTTGGTCGAGATACAACTATTTGAAAATCTGGAATCTGAGGGTGCAAAAAAATCTAAATATTGAGAAAATATCCTTTAAAGTTGTCCAAAGCAATGCATATTACTAATCAAAAATTAAGTTTTGATATATTTACGGTAGGACATTTACAAAATCTTCACGGAACATGATCTTTACTTTAATATCCTAATGATTTTTGGCATAAAAGAAAAATCAATAATTTTGACCCATACAATGTATTTTTGGCTATTGCTACAAATATACACCAGCTAATTAAGACCGCTTTTGTGCTCCAGGGTCACACATTGCAAAATTAGAATTTAATGAGTTAAAAAGTACAACTTACTTGAAACATGCACTTCTAACTGGCATTGTGTGTCTGTAAGGTGGCCAAGTGGACAGGCGATTTCTTTAATAAGGGAATATATGATATTCATATTCACCTGAAGGGAGTCCCGCTGCTGGAGTGGGAAACAGAGGTCGAGATGGATAAGTGAGACCAATTTATTACACTTGCCACAGTTTGTAGCCCAGAAGTGTTTAAATATTAAGCTACACTTAATTTCAGGTCTCTGTTTCATAGCATTATTTGTCATCTAAGAAAAGTATGATGTTTTGATTTCTAATGCAATGATATTCATTCATTAAGTGCCCAAATATGTTTTTTTTGTCTTTATTTCTTCTCAACCAGATGGTTATATACACAGTTTGTGTCTGCTGTGACTTATTTGTCTTGCTTTTTATTTATTTATGCTATTTTTCTCTTGATCTCTCTGTTAGATTAACGGCCAGTGACATCATGGAGCCCAACCTGACGTATGTGTATCCTCACACCCGTATCCAGTCTCTGGTCAGCATCCTGAGGACCACCGTCTATCACGCTTTCCCCGTCGTCACCGAGAACAGAGACAATGAGAAGGAGTTCATGAAGGGCAATATCCTCATAAGCAACAATATCAGATTTAAGGTACAGCATTACACCAGTATTGAACTACAGCGTTTTGACCACAAGATGGTGCAAACAGACTGTTTTTTTTTATTTATTTATTTATTTTACACCTCGCTCAGTAGCACAGAAATTATTTTTATCAGCTTTGATACTCCGGACATGTATCACTTCTGAGTGATCAAACTTGTGATTATTATTATTTTTTTTGAGTGGTGGATGATAAAATGTTCTACATTTAAATAAGGAACTGAGCCATGATTCGAGATCAGATTATCAAGGAGAATTGGAAGGTGGCACTTCTTACTTGAACTAATGCAGTTTTTCTCATTCGCTTTAGTTTTGTTCTTGAAACCGCTCGTACAAACAGCACCACACAATGGTGCTGCAAAAGGCTTACAAACTGCAAAAAGCCTATAACTTGCTCAAAATTTCTATCAATAAACATCAATGCCATCACAAAAAGTTCTCTTGTCATTGTTCACAAATAAGATCAAAATGCTTAGCCAATGTTGTCAATATAACCGTATCCTCTGTCAGCATTTCTTGATGTAAACGATGGCTACGGTTTTGATGACAATTGAAAATGCACAAAATCACCATTTGAGCATTGATGGAATAAAAATTAATTATTATAAAAAATTATTCATATGTAATAACTTTGGGTAAAACAATATTTAATCCACTCTCCACTTTCAAAATCGTACAAAATCCAAGTCCTACAATATTTTAATTTAAATATTTGGTTTTACTTGGAAATATTTCACATTATTGAGGTGAAATGCATTATGAATGTGGTTACATGTTGCAAGGCTCGAAATTGCGACCATTTTGGTCGCATATGCTCACAAAATTTAATCTCAAAATATATTTGGGAGCATTTGTGCGAGTGCATAGAATTGTTGCCGTGCGACGTGTTTTCATTTCTCTAAAAACGTTCAGAGTATGTGCCTTCTGAGTATTGATATGGTGGCCGTTCTTTGAAACATTAGGCTACATAACCAATAAAACTTCATCTTTACATTCTTAAAGGTGGGGTAAGTGATTTTTCAAAAACACTTTAGAAAACTGATTGGGGCTGACTAGCAAAACAAACTTGTAGCCAATCAGCAGTAAGGGGCGTGTCTACTCATGATGTGGAGGAGAGAGCGTTCAGTGCACAGGACGGACATTAGCAGCGGAGCGACAGAAAGATAGAGATGGCGGATAAAAAACAAAAGAGGAAAACGTCTGCGGAACAAAAGAAGGCTTGAGGCAAGAAGTAGGACCCGTGTAAATATCGGATCCGCTTTCCAGCGCTAGAGAGAACTCATGGAGCGGAAGGCCTGCAATCGGACGCAGAGATTGCTTTGTTTCTTCTGGATAGGTGAGTAACACCGTGTCTGCGCTGCAACCGCAAAAGTCTGTCTAGTGCACTGGACATGACAAAGCGACCGTTGAAAATCATTTGAAATTTCATGAATAGAACGCAGCAGCAGTTTTCTGTCTGGGATTTGTTGTGTCGTGCCGTGCCGCATCCAGTGTAGACTATAGATATGTGTATATATATCTATGGTGTAGACAGCATCACTGATTAGGATGAGTTCCGTAGTATTTTGTTGCACCGCTCCACTTGCGTCCGGTATAACATTGGTTTTGCTTTGTTTCGCAGAACTAATCGTTGCCTGGGTTGCGTATGTATGTGTGGGGCGGAGCTATCAAAATTGGGGCGAAACCCTTTTTGGGTAGGGGCGTGTTTGTTTTGGTGATTTCAAATGTCAACATTGGCTACCAGAAATCACTTACCCCACCTTTAACTTTAATGCAGATTTTAGATTGGTTAATATTAGCTGTCAATCACCCAGTCACTGCTTTCCGCTGTCAGGTGACAGGCTAACTACCGCGGGGAATGTAAAGGGCTGAAGAAGAGAGAAAATAAAAAAAGAAACACTGACAGATTTCTTTTGTGAACCACCTAAAGTTACAAATAATGGTGCTGGTGATAGAGATCATGTGGTGAATGTTGATCCACTAGCCGAACAGAAGGCGTACAGTTTTCGGAGAGAGTGGTTGAAAGACTTCTAGTGGCTCCGCTATGAAAATGGTTCTATGCACTGCATTCACTGTAAAGCCTGTGGGACGGAGTTTGCAGGTAACAGCGTTCGCCTCCGAATCTACACATTTCATAATTGTTGTTTTACGATGTGTGGTTTTACATTATCAAGTATATTGCAAAATCCAAACAAAATGCCTACAGAGTGTGCACGCATACATGACATGAAGTCTATTAGGTTAGATTAGTGCGCGCGCGCATTTAGAGTGCGTTCTTTCACGGCATGATTCAGTCTATTAAAATGCATCACAAAATTCAAGATATGTGGCCTTTACATCATTGTATATAGACGTTCAGCTCCAACCCTGAAAAAAAACCTCACTTGTCTTTAGCCTTAGTAATCCTGAAGACCTTGATTAGCTTGTTCAAGTGTGTTTGATTTGGGTTAGAGCTAAACTCTGCAGGACAGCGGCACTCCAACGTTGCCTATCCCTAATATAGTTAATCAATATCACAAGAAGAGTGCCGTTTCCTCCAAAAATCAGCATGATTACAAATGTGATATTGATTTTATATAAAATTTTTTATTTAAATTTAAAAAAGTTAATATTAAGAGACTTACGTTTTAGACACTATATTGCCTGTTTTTGCTCTATTTCGCCAACAAAAATAATTCCAAGCACAGTCACACAGCGTTGTTTTGCGTCTCTGAGCAACATGAGGGCGTTTCGTTCCTGAATGAATCATTCGTTAAATGATTCGGTTCAATCGCAATGACTCACTTATTAACAGTGACTTGCTGCCACCTGCTGGCAGTTTTAATTTCACATTTAAAGTTTCAAATATTTCAAATATCAGTATTCAACGTTTTATGTTTACAATATTAAAATATTATTTATGCATGTGTAACTGCAGGCTAAATGCTTTCATGTCCTGCATTAATCAGTGTGTAAATGCATCTAAATGCCATTTCAGATGCCACTTCTGTGTTTCCTCTGCATTGCAAAGATGAATTTTGTTGATAACAGCCCAAATGTCTTATTATAATTGACTGATTAAGTATAAGAATTTGACTCAAATGATAATGCACACTGTTAGAAAAAATGTATTTAAGGTAAAAATTACCATAAAAGGTAAAAATCTATTTAAACTTATTGGAAAAAATTAGTTTCTGTCACTGCTGTGAACTGACCACCACACAGAATATGAAGAATATAAAAATTGTTTAGGAGTCAGCTGTCCACTGTAAGATATCAGCACAGTAACACTCAAATTATTATCGATAAAATATCGAGATATAATTTTGTCAATATCGCACACCCCTAACTGTTGATACAGTGTTTGTATTATTGTTTTAATTCATTAACATTAATAATTTTTTTGCATAATATATCAATTGATGTTTGTTTATAGTACATGAACTAATGTCCATTTAACTTTAAAATGTAAAATTTTATGTACTGTAAAATTTTACGAATTACTATTAATCTTCATATGTTCAATGTATTAATATGTGCAGAAATTAACTTTATGTAGTATTAATAAAGGCTGCAAAATGATTGTTCATTGTTAGTTCATGATACCTAATGCATTAATGTTAACAAATTGAACCTTATAGTATGTCTTTTTGTTCTCATGTCCAATAAACCCGGTTTCTCTCTGATGTTTTCTCTCCTTCAGAAAAGCAGCGTGTTGACGCGTGCGGGGGAGCAGAGGCGGAGGTGTCAGTCCATGAAATCATACCCGTCAAGTGAGCTGCGCAACGTGTGTGACGAGCAGACTGCTGTGGAGCCGGCAGAGGAAGGGCAGGACATCCTTCAGCAGATGCTGGAGAGGAGGTCAGGCGATGAACTTTGACCTTTTACCTCCAGAACTATCATCACCCTGTTACCGAGTCTAATATAACACAGTACTCTGCATGTAGTGTATATTGTCACAAATATTTACTCCATATTCTGTACTTATGTAGTGTTTATAGCTAGAAGTCCACTTATAATTTTATTCAAGGTTTCTTACACCAAAAACAGCATTTAGTGACACTTCGAATTTAACAGGTTTTTACTCCTTTATCTTTAAAGGGGATCTATTATGCCCCTTTTTACAAGATGTAAAATACCTCTCTGATGTTCCCAGTGTGTGTATGGGACGTTTTAGCTCAAAATACCCTACAGATAATTTTTTATAGCTTGGGGTTTTTAGGGTATGAAAAACGCACAGTTTTTTGTGTTTGTCCCTTTAAATGAAAACGAGCTGGTGCTCCCGCCTCCCCTTTCAGAAGAGGGTGGAGTTTCTAGAACTCGCGCACCGGCATCATGCCAGCAATAACAAAACACTCTCTCACGCACTGAAAATGTCCGAAACCGCTAGTAGTGGTGTTCAGCCATACATGTTCGAACCGGTGTCGTGCCGAATTCTGCACCCTGCCAGATTATTCATGAATTACACAGACGGGGAGCACGGCACTATAAAAATAACAACATAGCTGGTCTCATGGTGCCATCGCGTCCTAACACAAACTTTATAAGTCCCGAATATGATTATGAGCTAGACAAATTCAAGCGGTCGATTTCATATGCAATTTTTAACTACCACATTCCTATTCACGATCATTCTGGTAGCACGTGAAGGCAGCATCAGTGGTAGCTTTAGCAACATTAGCCTTACAGAGTGCCAAGAAGCTCTTTCAGAAAGGCAATTTGGAAAACAAACGCGTGATACTTACTACTTCTAGATGGCGTAACGTTAGCTGGATCACGAGCAGTTGGAGCAACTTTTGTGCAAAACCTGCTTTATACTGACCCTCATTCACAGCAGTCCGGTGTAAAATGATTTGCGCAGACGTAAACGAATTTCTGAAGAGTTGAGGGAGCATTTTCTTCGAAAACAAAATTAATCCACCTTGTCTTCAGGGGCTCAGATTTCGGGAGTAAATGGAGAGAGCTATGTGGATTAATACATCCAGCAACAGAACACCTAAAATGCTTGGGAGACATTCTCGTCAGTGCAGCAGTGGCGGACTGTGTACAACTCGCTCGCTATGTTAAAACAGCAGTCTGTCAACATTCGTGGGTGGGGCATGTGGCTAATGTGACGTCACATTAGCACCAATGATAAAAATAGGCCAGTGTGAGACACTGCTTATTATTTATGGGGGTTAAAAAAAAAAAAGGAGTGGGTGGATTTTTATCATTATAGGGTGGTTGTGTACACACACTGCCAACACACATTTGTCCAAACACCTTGCAAAAGTGAATTTTGCATAATGGGTCCCCTTTAAGACTCCTGTATATAATCCAGGGCAGACCAGTTAGCTGAATATTGTAAATATAGGAGATCATATAATTTTTGAACGGTTTCCTTTATACTGTTTATTTTTAATAAATTACGTTAGTGGACTGGGAAGGAGCTTTGAATTGTGACAGTATTGTGGGTGAGACTATGATGTTTTTTTTTTCTCCACACGAGTCCTTTAAATGCGTCTGCTGTCTGTTGTTGTGGTGGATGTTGGCAGACATGTGCCGTACCCAAACCTGTACCCGGACCAGTCTCCCAGTGAGGAGTGGACCATGGAGGAGAGGTTTCGGCCGCTCACCTTTCACGGGCTCATCCTGCGCTCCCATCTCGTCAACCTGCTGATCTGCGGCGTCTGCTACGCTGAAAACCAGTCGGTCAGTGTCAGTCAGAGCCGCCCTCCTGTGCCCTTTCTCCTTCCTCCCTTTTGTTTGTTCTCTTCCTGTCTCTTCTCCTTCTCTCTGCCTTTATTTTCCTCATCTTACTCTATCTGTCTTTTCAAAGGCGGTCAGATCTTCACTTATGGTTATGCCCTATACTTACGGTTACTTGAAAGTGAATATGACATTTATACTGATTCAATTTGCTTTATCAATAACTGTTTCTGGTTTTATGTTTTTTATATATTATTAAAATGTAATCTCCACCATTTTGCAAATGTAATCAAGACAGCATGGGCAGGGAAGAAAATTATTAGCTAATGATCTAACATTTTGTCCAATCAAATCCCCACCAAGTAAAATCAAGTCCTGTACACTTCATTATTTTATTTCTAGATAGTCTGTTTCACTCAGAAATATGTTAATATTTTCATCAAATATTATAATCTTTCATCAAAATGTAATAACTTAGCTTTTTTATTAATGTCACCATGCCCTCCTGTTTTCTTAACCACGGATCACAACCCAGTGATTTTTATTGAATGTGCACATGCAGTGTGCTTTAAATCTTAAAAGTAAAAAAATGTACTTGCAGAAAATATAATATTAATAAAATAAAAGGCCACTTAAGTGTACTTGGAGAGTGTGCATGCATGACATCACTTTTAAAAAGTGCACTTTGTTGTAAAGTAAAATGATATATATATCTTGATGTATTTTAAGTATTAATTTATAATTTTGTCATGCTTTAAAGAAGTACACTTGATGTGTGGACTAAATACTAAAGCGCATGTAATGTACTTGCTACTTGAATGTTAAATATTTAGCGTTATTTGATATTACATTTAATGAATTTTCATTTTGTGCTAAATTACAACTTCATCATTACAGATATATTTAAATAACATGAAAATTTTAGTAGAAATGACATTTAAAATATATTTTAGTTACCATAAATGCTGGTCCGTACATTCTGCCGTCATTTTAAGTCCTACTTAAAAGTGGTCAAAAAGCACTCAAAAGTGTTCATCTCATTGCATGTAATATAAATTTAAACTATAATATATTGTTGTTTAATTCCAAATAAAATGCAAGTAAGAGTCTTAAAATTTTACATTCAGTTTGCATGCAAGCATAGTCTTTTAAAGTATATGATTTCCATAAGTAAAAAGTGTAGTAGTTTTTCAGAAGGTAGTGGTAAGCAGACTATTTTGATACTTAATTTTGACCTGTTTGAACTGTTCAATGCACTATTAGATACAACCAAATAGATCGAGCAGCCTCTCTCCTCTGCCCTCTGTAGAGCGCCTCACAGCCACGGCTCTCACATTCAGAGATGACTGAGGATTACCCACGATTCCCTGACATCCACGATCTCGACCTGGCCCTTCTCAATCCACGCATGATTGTGGTAATGTCCTCTGACCCATCAGACTCTTCAGCAGCTCATAAACTAGTGCTCTATATGTCAGTTATCTATGATATGTGCTGTTAATTGGTGTTAATTGGAAGTGTCGAAGTGCTCTTGTTGTAAAGTGAGCCATGCAGTGATGACAGTTTGTTCAGCGGTCTCTCTCAGACATAATTAGCCTAATTTTTTTTTGTTTTTTTTTGTTTTTATTACAGGACGTGACTCCTTACATGAACCCCTGTCCATATACAGTCTCTCCAAATACACACGTCTCCCAAGTATTCAATCTGTTCAGGACCATGGGGCTTCGACACTTACCTGTAGTCAATGCTGTGGGAGAGGTACGTCTACCACACAAACATTTAAACGCATCGATGCAAACACCGTGACAAAGAAATATAGAAACAACTTACGGTCTTCAAATGGGTGTGTCTTTGTTCAGTTATACTTTTAAAAGAATAGTTGCCTAAAAATAACAATTCTGGCATCACTTTATTACTTTTGGAGTATACGATTAATCAAACCAATTGATGATTCAGAGGTTTTCAATTCGGGAACATTTTTTGCAATTTTGCAAAATGATTAAATTCAGTCTGATTCACAATGAAATTCAATGTATGTTCAATGAATGATTCGATTTTGTATTTCAAAGTGCATTCATAGGAGTATTAAAATGCTTCTAATGTGCTAGGTTATTATTTATTATTTATTAAGCAGTGCTTTCCTGAGTATATCAGCACTTGTGCGCGATCACAAATGTGTTATTAACTTTATATACAACTGTGCAGAGCAACAATGCGGTGTTTCATTTTTGAATGAATGTTTTTGAATGATTCAAGTGAGCCAGTGATTCATTGATCCATTCATAAAGGCAGACACATGCTTCGTTTCTAATTGAATCAGCCGTTTTGAATGAATCGTTTGACATAATGATTCGGTAAATCATTTATTAAAACAGGGACTTGCTGCCACCTACTGGCAGTTTGTCATTTATTCTTTTCATATTATTTCATTTATTCATACAAAAAAATATTGGTTAATTGACAAAAATCCCCCATTTCAGGCCCCAGAAGGAAAACAGCTTATAAATCATAGTTAATTTAAGAGAACTCATTTTTTATAGACAAATAGACAAATTTTGTAATCATTGTGTAAAGTTAGGTACAGGACCCCCCCCCCGCCATCTCCCATGAATTTTTTTTTTTTTTTTTTTACAATTCGACCACTGGTTATTATAATATTATTATATTATATTAGTACTATCAAACCTTTACAATTAATCCAGAACGTGGCAGCAAGATTAATTTTTAACGAGCCGAAAGAACGCACATCACACCTCTGTTCATCAATTTGCTCTGGCTACAAGTAGCTGCTCGCATTCAAGGCATTGATGTTTGCCTACAAAACCACCACTGGCTCTGCACCCCTTTACCTAAATTCATTACTTATGTTATGTGCCCTCTAGAAGCTTGCGTTCTGCAAGTGAACGACGCATTATTGTTCATCCCAAAGAGGCACAAAATCACTTTCACGGACTTTTACATTAACTGTTCCCTCCTGGTGGAATGACCTGCGCAACTCAATCCGAGCAGCTGAGTCCTTAGCCATCTTCAAGAAACGACTAAAAACACATCTCTTCCATCTTTATTTGACCCTCTAACTCTAGCACTCTCTATTATAATTCTATTCTTTATAAAAAACTTGCCCCTTTTAGACTTGCACTCTATTTATTTACTAACTGCTTGTTTTCTTAAAAAAAACTAAAAAAACTATCTTCTCTAATCTTTTTGAATTCTATCTATTTGTTTTCTTTTTATTTATTATACAATTAACAAAAGCAAAAGAAGGCCTTTAACACTAGCTTGCTCTATTCTTTTGTATTTACTATAGAATTAAAAAAAAAATCCTTTCTACGTGTATTGCGTTAAGCTAACAGACTTGTTATAGCACTTGCTCTTTTGTTGATTTTGATTGCTTCCATTGTCCTCATTTGTAAGTCGCTTTGGATAAAAGCGTCTGCTAAATGTCTAAATGTAAATGTATTATATTATATATAGTTTATCTTGATGTACTAAAATAAATGGAACTAAAACTGAAATAAAAATGCATAAAAACTATATAGACATGTATATAAAAAAACTGACAACAGCAAAATTACTAAACCTTCACTAAAATTAAAATATAAAAATAAAAAGCTTATTCAAAATATTACAAACTATAATAATATCTCAATGATACTAAAATAACCCTGCTCATGTGTCTTAGATAGGGGGAATTTTTTTTTTTTGTATTACACTTCATGTTGTTCCATAGCTTTCTTTGGTGTAGATCTCTCTTTCTCTTTCTCTCTCACTCTCACTCTCTCACTCTCACTCTCACTCTCTCTCACTCTCTCTCTCTCTCACTCTCTCTCTCACACACACACACTTTTTTAGAATGTTGCTGCTGCTTTTTTCTGACTCAATGAAAGCATTTGCTGAAAGCATTTAATTTTTCTCAATGTATTTTCTTGGATGAAGCTATATAGCTATATTTTCATAAAGTGGTGTTTTGTCATCTGTGTCTCTTACAGATCGTGGGAATAATCACCAGGCATAATCTTACCCATGAGTTTTTAGTTGCTAAACTCCGACAGCATTACATCACAATCTAAGACTCCGTTCACGATCGAGCACCCACCTTATTACCCAGTAATGGCTTCCTCGAGATGAGAAGAGCCGAATGCTCCGGGACCTGAGACTAGATCGCCTCTGAACCTGAACCCCGCTTCAGGTCGCACCCTAAAGCCATTCCTAGTATCTGCGTGGACAGCCAGAGGTCGGCACCTGACCCGACACAAACACACCTCATGCTAGCACTAATGCAGGTGAGGTCCTGTTCATCAACACTCGCTGCCTGTGCTTTATCGCCCTCACTGTAGCACTTTTAATTTAGTCTCTCTGAGTTCTGAATGTTTTCATTGTGCTCACCATTTCTGTGTATTCCTGAACGTTTGCTTTTGCACAAAGACTGATAGAAACCACTGACCAATCCCCGGTCAAAAGATTGAATGTCATGAAAACCGTCAAGAACATGTCTGGGTCGTGTTTCATCCTTAAATCAAGCAAAAATCATATTCCTTTCTTTTGAAGAAAATCATTTTTAGGACCTTTAAGATTTTTAGTACCATGTCATTATTTTGATGACTGTTAAGCACATTTCCCCCAAATTAACAATATATATTTTTATTACTGCACTGCCAAAATATTTAAATAGTATTGCCATATTTTGTATTTATATATTTTGGCATATTTTGTAATGCATATATTTAAAATGTTTTTAAAATCACTGTAGTAATTAGTGTAAAGAAAGTCACCGATATAAAAATAATTTGAATTATGTGTAATTAGACTTTTGCAATTAATGCAAAAAATGCATCCAAATGTTTTATTAAATTGGTTTTCGTTTACTTAACGCAAAATAGTTTTCTTTTTTTTTATGTTGGGGGTGAAATGTGACCTGTTTTCATGAGACCTTCCTGTCAATTAAGAAAAAGCAAACCATTGCAAATGCAGTATTAAAGAAATATTAATAGACTCTTTCTAGGACTCAACAATCAGATCTGTATGCATTTTCATCTCATTTAATCATGCTAGTATTTCAAGAATGCCTTTTTCTAGTGACACACTTTCTCTATTTCAAAATACAGTTATTCAATTCCAGTGTTTTGGCATTTATTCCAAGTGGAGAATGTTTTAATTGTAATTGTGGCATTAATAATATTTTTACGCTCCATTTTGCCCGTTCCGTTGAAATGCGCCGACATTCTTGATGTCGTTTTGTCAGGGAAGAAAGTTCTCAGGGTGTGTTTGTAATAATGAACCACCATAAAGTCACTGAACTACAGGGATTTGTGTAATATGTATGCTTGTTTTGTAACATAGTCATGATATTAGTATATCATATTTTGACTGCGTTTTGATTTCAAGGGACTTACAAGAGCAGACTAAATGGTATTAGAAATGATGGCACATTTGCGTACTACACATTCCTTAAAAATGTTTGTTTACTGTAATTTCCTTTTTTATTTGATTTATTTAAGATGAAGGATATTTTGTCATATATGCTGCAAATACTGTTTTAATTTATGCTTTAAAATGACATTTGTCTTTTGCAGTTTTTAATTGTGAAGAGGAACTGTCAGTTTTATTTGATGTGTCTTTTTAATGTGTGTTTTGTAACATACTGTTGAGTTTGCAGGTATGGAGAGCCAACTAAACACGATTCATCTCTTACAAGAGCTTCATAAAGCGATATGCAAATGCTATGTAAAAAATCATCTGCGATCTCTATACTCCATTGTGATGTCATGTACACAATCAGTATGGGTTTTCAGGTGATCGATTTAATGCAGTAGTCAAAATAAACTATACACCCTTGTAAGGCTTGAGTTCAGGTTTTGCTCCGAATTCATACAGCAGGCCTAACAGCATTCATAATACTTCAATATTCATTAAATTGCATCCTTCCACTAGAAGATGTACTTTCTGTACAGAACATGTCAAGCAGCGTTCATGACCAGATGCTGCTCATTATCATAAAATAAATGTTTGGTGAAGGGTGGACCTCACATAGCGTAACTGTAACAACCTTACATGCTTGTGCAATTTAAAGAAAAAGGTAGAACATTTAAAAAAAAAAACATGCTCACATTTCAACTTTATTAACTGTAACTTATCCATCAAATGGCAGCAAAGTGAACAGGATGGGGAGAAAGAGCTCAAATTAGTCACTGCTCAGTGAGGGATTGACAGTCTGTTTGGTGTTCACACTGGCAGCAGTTTGAAGCAACAAGATAGCATTCATTTTCAATGGAAGTTGGCAATTTCCAGTGACGGGACCATTGGTGATGCAACGATTTGATTAGAACACAGCTTCGTTTTATGCAAATGAGCATCAACACAATGTGACAACCAATGGGAGTGCCGACAGTGATCTGCTATCTGATACAGGTCAATAGAAACCAACAGCACAGGCTATGGGCCGTTCAAAAAAATTTTTTAATTGAATAATTGTTATTGATGATTCAACTCATATCTATTTATAACATAAAATGTATAAATATAAATGTTTAAACACATGTATATTTATTTTATTATTTATTGCTACAATAGCATACATATACACTACCATTTAAAAGTTTGTGGAGTGGGAAAGATATTTGAATGTTTTTGAAAGTCTTTAATGCACATCAAGGCTGCATTTATTCAATCAGAAATGAAGTGGGAAAAATACAACAACGTTGTAAAATATAATTACAATTAAAAGTGTTTATATTACGTCATCCAAAAAAAGAAAAAGGATTCACAAATTTAAATCAAACAATATATCCAAAAATCAACAAAACACTAAAGCATCTATATATATATATATATATATACATACACACACACATCAAACCCAATCACCAATATCAATAACAGTGTATATTTACATCAAACAAGTACTTGATTTATTAATTTTTTTTTACACCCTGATGAAGGCTTGTTAGCCACATCGTGTTGGTGTGTGTTGATACGTTTTTAGCATTATAGCCACGAGAAAATAAAGGCTTTTTACTTTTTTACTCCTCGTTAAGCACCTTGGTTTTGCATGATTTTTAAGTGTTTTTGTTTGTTTGTTATTTTGTGGCCGTCACAACACCGACGGCCACCGGGACAAGACCACAGGAACCAGTTGAGTCCTCTGCACAATCTGACTTTGCTGCAGCCTGAAATTTAACTGCTGATTTTGTCTGGCCAGAGGAGAGCTGGCCCCCCGACTGAGCCTGGTTTCTCCCAAGGTTTTTTCTCCATTCTGTCACCGATGGAGTTTTGGTTCCTTGCCGCTGTTGCACAGACACTATTTAAACTGAACTGAGCTGGATGATGACCACTGAATTCAATGATGAACTGCCTTTAACTGAACATTGAGTGTTTACTATTGTCCTTTTGCATTATTTATATATATTTTTTTTTTAATTATTATTTTTGTCACTTATTCCTGTGATGCAAAATTTGAATTTTTCAGCATTACTACAGTCTTCAATGTCACATGATACCAGAAATAATTTGACTCTTTTATTTAATCACTAATCCAACACTGTCACTTTCTGGGTGATACTGTCATCAAGGAACTGACTTCAGTTCAGTACAGTAAAATGTACTGTTTAATACAGTAAAAGAGAAATTAGGGCAAAGGACCAACTTAACATCATCTCAAAGCAAAGTAGTGAAGTGATTTAAAATTGAGTTCATTGTGATACAGCAAGAAATCATAAGATTTACAAGTCACACCATAGTTTGGAGACCAGTTCTCACTATTAGCTAACTATCAACTACTTTTGCCTCAATAGTTAGTAAGGTAGTTGTTTAGTTTAGGTAAGGTGTAGAATTGTACAATATGGCCATACAGAATAAAGGCATGAATATGGGCTTTATAAGTACTAGTAAACAATCAACAAGCTAGTAATATGCATGCTATTTAATAGTGAGAATTGGTCCCTAAACTAAAGTGTTATGGATTTACATGTTTTACAGCCGTGTACAGTGGGAATGAGTCATCATACACCTGCTGTTCAGTCGGTCATATTCACAGCAGAGCTCCGAGTCTGATTCATGAAGCTCTTCACGGCCGAGTGCGTGGAGTTAAACTCACTCTGACACATGCATACAGATCTCCTAATGTAGGCTGATGTGTCGGACATGGACTATTTCAGCACAGATCTGATATCCACCGAGAAAACAAGGCTCATGAAATGTTAAGAGCTAATCGTGGCATTCCTCAATGGAAAATTAGGATGCTGTCTTTTTTCTTCTTCTTTTCATTCCAGTTGATCTGTGGTTTTGTACTAAGGAATCCGGATGCACATCATAGTGAATGAGAAAGACCACATTCATGGACCAGTGTACAGCTTTACATTACAGGTCTCCCGTCAGATTTATTGACTGACACAGGCCTTTCGTGACAAGACTCTTGATAAGAAGTTCTGTCATGTAATACTAGTTCATAAGTGCAGATTTCACTAGATTTGTCTTATTAATTTTGAATTTAGAATCTAGATAAAGAAGCTGCTCAAATATATTCACATTTTTTTATATACATATATATATATATATATATATATATATATATATATATATATATATATATATATATATTGCTACTTTAAACATTTCATTGTATACATTTTATTTTACCATTGTACCAGGCTAAAACCTTCAGTCTTAAACTATTAAATGTATCATATGTTTAAACCATGATGAGCTTAAAAATATATCCTTTTCAATATTATATGAAAAAATACATACAAAAATAATAGGATTTTTATATAATGTATAATATTAATTCTATCCTTGCAATATCATGTTAGTAAAAAAATATATTAATTTAACATTTTCAGTTTTGCCATAATTTCCTTCACAATGAACAATATTGCCACAATCATTTTCATTTTCACAATTAAAAAATGAAATGTGATTTGTGAAGAAGAGAGAGTAAAATCATCACTTAAGTGACTTGAGTAAGTACCACTTGACAGCAGAATCATTTTTGTGTGGCGTTTTCAATTAAGCTGCAGTTTTGTCAAATTGAAAAGAGTGAAACTAATAAAAGTAGTAAATATGATATTAAATATGTGGGATACATTAAAATTCTAGCTGTGAATTTTTGTTCCATGTATTTTAAAATGGTCATTTCCATCACTGTCAATAACATATTTGAAGAAGAAAAGAAGATTATAATATAATATGATATGATATAATAATATAACATGACATGATATAATATAATATAACATGACATGATATAATATAATATAACATGATATAATAATATAATATAACATGACATGATATAATAATATAACATAACATATGATATAATA